ATATGTGACCCTGTCTGTGAAATCCAGGCTAAAGTCTCAAAATCTAATTATGAGATAACAAGCATCAAAGTTTGATTTCAACCATTAATTTCACTATGATTCCATTCTTTGACATGGCCTTACTCAGTCAATATTAAAGATATAAAGGTTACATTTTCACAGAATGTTCTTTACTTTATGAAGGATGATTTTATGTAGAAAACCACAAAAATGTGTAGTATGTATGTGTTTTATGTAGTAAATCACAAAAAATTACTTTAGCTGGGTTTTCACAGGCAGGGTCACATATTACTGTCTAATGTTTATGCTGTTATTTGTGTCATTTTAGCTACCACTGCATCAAATTTGCCTGTAAAAGTTACTGTGTAAAACTGAAAAGTATGTGTTTTTTCTTCCTTAAGGGAAAATGCATTATCATGGAAGTAACAGAAGCATTCAAAGCACGGATCAAAGAAAGTTATGAGGCACCTCCATCATTAGTTATAAAGTCTTGAAATGCTGAATGACTGACACTATCATTCATAGTGTGTTGTAGTATATTTTTCACTGAGCTCCTGTGATCATGCAATATAGGAGCAGTTATTAGCCGTGACCTTGTGACATGTCCACACGACCCGTGACACGCTGGTGTTCGTCAGCAGCATCTCTGCTTTCTGAAACTGCTTTCATCTACACACACACGCGCGTCCCTTGTCTCACTGTGTACATTCATCTTATGGTTTCCATTGTTTTCTGTATATTGATTGTTCTTCCATTAAAAAAACAAAAACAAAAAACAAAAAACACAACACAAGCCCAACATAGGAAAAATTTGATTTTAAATGTGTGCAAAGCTTCCACATTTTGGTTGTTTTGTTTTTGCTGTCTTTGATAGCAGTAAATTATGGGGAGAAAACATGGTTATCAAATTAAATTTGATTAAGAATCAAATTAGAAACTTTTTTTTTTCTCCTGGACAGCAGTGAGGTTAAATGAAGAGGAAAACAAGACTTTCTCTGACGTCTCCTGCTCGTCAGATGTTTCTCCTGCACTTTAAAAAATAAACGTGATTTTAACGGTAAATGACTGTAAAAATGTTACGGTAAAAGTCTCTTAATTGGTTAAGAGTAAGTTCCCTTACTGTATACTCTATACAAGATCTGAGATACTAGATCTGAGTATCTCTTAGAGTATCTCTCAAATATATATAATAAATATATATTTAATATAATTTGATAATAAATTACTGTTATATATCAAAGTTTTTTTTTTGTTATATAAGTGAACAAATCATCTTATAACTTAATTGAAAAACCAAAAATTGACAAACAAAATTCCCTGTTTGACAGTTCACATTTGATGGGTTTTCATTGAAATAACTGTTTCTTCATAGTTTTTTTCTTAATTGGTATGTACAGTAATGTATTCATGCTACATCTAATGTTTTTAAATGAATGCTTATTGCATTATTTTAGTGTTGTGTGTTACCACTCTATATACTAGTATTGACTTCAGCTTGTGGAAAAGCTTTCATGTATGATTCTTCATGTATATTATAAAGGTACAAAACTGATATTAGCACTTCAGTAGGTTCACATTATTTCAGTTAACGAAATATGTGTGTTTTACGGTAAATAGAAGTTAAATCGGTAAAACCTATAATGTTGCTACCATATTTTTACAGTAAATTTCTGGCATCCACAGCTGAAATTTTTTTTACTGTAAATTTCACAGATTGTTTTTTTTACAATGTGTGAAAAAAATCTTGCATACATCACCTCTAGGTTCTCAGATCTAAACCATGTCTCAAACTGAATGATTTTAATGTCTGCAAAGAAGTGTTCATGTCAGATATTTCTTATCAAATTCATCCACGAACAAATGATCCACATTTTACTGTGTGACGGGCAGTGACCGATTACATGTAACCTGGATTATGTAATCAGATTCCAAGAATTAAATACTTGTAAGTAGATTAATTAAAATTTTAAATACTTGTAATTAGACTATAGTTACTATTTTATTGATTACATGATTACATATTATTCACACAATAGTAATAAATTGTTCAAAATGTATTGATTCTCCCTAATTCTTTTTCATTTTTTAAAATTTTATTATTTGTATATATAATTTGTAAATATAATTTGTAACATAACACGTTCAGGGGGGCTCAGACAAATTTTGCCTAATATTTTAAGTTACTAAATTAATAATTAAGTAACACATTTGCATGTTCACGGTTCTCTGACGTTGGTTAATGGTCACATGACATGCAGGTAAACAAATAAATGATTTAATCTTTTTTAATAAGTGTTTTCTTTTGATTTATTTCAGTTTTGTTTTTTTTATGATGTAACTAATTATTGTCTTTTCATTAAACCCCCTGCAGGTCCTTCACAAACCCCAGTGTGGGAAACCTTGGTAATGTAATGTTTAATGCACTTTATGTTGTTAATAACAATGAATGGGATATATTTTCTTTCTCTTTCTATTTTTATATCAATATGGTACAAGATTACCTTATTTAAATCAATGTGATAAACAAGTTAGGTCAAAAGTAATCTAAAAGTAGTCTGATCAGATTACCCAAAACATGTTATGTAATGGATTACATTACTAACTACAATTTTTATCATGTAATCTGGAATGAGTAACAGACTACAATTTGCAAGTAATCTACCCAGCACTGATAATAGCTATTGAGAACTCTTATGAGATATGAGAGCTGTGGTTGGCTGAAGACTGACACATCCTCACCTGCACGACTCTCTGCGCCTGTGTGTCGATCAGCAGCAGTCTGTTCTGATGTGGCTGAGACACGTACACGTACTTGTCCCTCACGCTGACCGCAGATGCCCATACACACTCCTGTGAAGAGACGCCCGTGCTGCTGGGACACAGTTCTTCCTGCAGGGATGGACACGCGCTTGAACCAATGTTTGTGTCTGTGCACTCGTAAAATAAAGGTTCTTTATTGGCAGCTAAGGTTCCATGAAGAACCTTTAACCTCCAGGGAACATGACCATTGCACAAAAGGTTCTTTATAGTAGAAAACACATAGGTTCTTTAGATTATTAAAATGTTCTTCACACTAAAAAGGAATGGTTACTTTTCACTGGAGGGTTCTTTGGGGACCAAAAATAGTTATTTTATGGCATCACTGTGAAAACCACCCCCTTTGAAACCTTTAGAAATGTCAAAACATGTTCACCTCCAAATCAAAAGAACCAAGACATTATATATATATATTAATGATTATACTATTGTTTAAGCAAAGCATCTGGATGTAGATACACTAAAATGCAAAAGTCTGATATAAAGATTTTTAAGAAGTTTTTTTTTTCAGTTCTAGTCACCAAGGCTGCATTTATTTGATCAAAAATACAATAAAAACAGTAATATTGTGAAATATTACTACAATTCAAAATAAATATTTACTATTTTAAAATGTATTTTATTCCTGTGATCAACTCCAGTCTTCAGTCACATGATCCTTCAGAAATCATTCTAATATGCTGATTTGCTGCTCATTTCTGATTATTATCAATGTTTGCGCTGCGTCATATTTTTTCAGAATCCTTTGATTTGAAATTGAAATCATTTGTAACATTATAAATGTCTTTGCTGTCACTTTTGATCAATTTAATGTGTCCTTGATTAATAAAAGTATATATTTTTTAAATCAACAACACTTTACTGTCATAATGCGTTATAAAAAAAAAATTATGCATTATTATTATGCCTCGTAATGCACCTTATAATGCATTATATGATCTCAATGATTATGACCACAGTTATAAATTATAATACTTATCTCTTCATTGTTGCACCTTTAGAAAATATAATACATTAGAACACATGACAAACAAACCTTCAAATATTATAATGCATTTTAACTTTGGTTACAATTATTTATGAAAATATATATTTCTTTATTCCTATAAAATAATTATTTCATAATGCATTATACATAAAGTCTTTAAATAAAGTGTTACCAAATAAAAGTCTTACTAATCCTACTTTTTAAACAGTAGTATAAACTATACTAATGATAATGGTTTGCTTTTGCATTAATAAGAATTATGGGGGTGGAAGAATGTGAAAATAATCTTAACAAACAATCTTAAAACAGTCAGGCTTCATTAAGCATAATGACTACTCTTATTTCTGTCTTTTGTTTTGGGTTCGAGCCAAGACTTACATAACTACCCAGAATCCTCTCTGTCCGCGGGATGCGTCTGCGAATCTCACAGTTGCCGGGCTGCAGTACGGTGATCCCTTCACTGGAGAACACGTAGAACATGTTCCCCACACTGAGCCCTGCAAGCACACACAACATCACACACGCCATTACACACACTCTCTTCCTTCAGAGAGAACAACAGCAAACGGCGTACCACTGGGGGAGAAAACGATTTCAAACAATGCGGCTGTCATACGGTCAGACAGCAGAGACTATTAAAATCTCCTGAACCACTCCAAAAAGTGCATTTGCAGGTCTGTCACCTGGCAGCAAACAACAGCTGCTAATTAGCGTGGTCACGTCAGACGAGCGGCAGCACAGAGTTGTCATGCTGTCAGAAAGCAGAAGGTGTAAAAACACACAGTCGCAGGTAAGCTCTGCATGATCAGTGCTGGCGGTCATCTCCATGAGTCGAGATGGTGGATGACTGTTCCTAATGATCATACGCAGGCACTGATTTGTGTAGAAGCTGACACTAAATTAAAAATAAAAAAGGTAATTGCCACTTTTTATCTCACAGTTCTGACTGTTTTCTTACAATTACGAGTTTATATCTCACAATCTCACAGAATTGTGAGATATAATCTCACAATTGTGAGAGAAGTCCAGTTCTGATGGAAAAACAAAACAAAACACTGACTTTATTTCTCAGAATTGAAAGTTTGTATCTCGCAGTTGTGACTTTTTCACATGCAATTGTGAGTTAGAAAGTCAGTATTGTGCGATATAAACTTGCAATTGTAATAAATTATCAGTCTTCCCCCCCCCTCAGAATTGGACTTGCAATTGCAAGTTTATATCTCACAATTCACAATAAAAAAATTAATAATAATAAATAAATAAAACGTAAAATTGATGTTAACTGAAATAAAATGTAAAAATTAAACTTGTTTTATTTTAGCTAGTTAATTTAGTTTAACTAGATGAACTAAAATAACTACAGTTACATTTTTTTTGCTTTAAAATTAACATGAAAGCAGAAAATATAAAAATAAAATCTAATTGAAAATATGATTCCATTTGAGTTTTGGCAGGTTACATGCGCGACGCAGCGAGAGTGAAAAAGCAGACGTGGTAATTAATATTGCTATTTAAATATGACTGGCTCGTAACTCCTAAGACATGGGAAATACAGTTGCAAATGGACTTTGGTTTTTCATTTGAAATTTGTCAGTCACTGTGCGTTCACGAAAGCGAAAAATGCAAACGGTAATGCAGGATTCGCAATTGCATTTGGATTATGTCACAATTTATGCGTCCACATATTGAAAATGCAATTGAAAATACAATTTGCTATTCTATTTGAAAATTGTCCGGAAAATCGTTCCATACAGATTTTCGTATATATATATAATTAAATACTTTTTATTTTATAATGAAATAGTATTATTACAATAGTCATTTTTCTTATTTGAATATTTTTTATTTAGTAATTTTAATAATCATAAGAATTATTATTAGTCATTTTTATATACAGTATAGGCATAAAAGTTTGGGCCAAATTGTGCAGCCCTACAAACAAGAACAAAACCTTTTTTTTTTTTTTTCTTTAAAAAAAAATCACATTGCAAACTGCAATCGCAATATTTAACCTGAAAGTCACAATTTGATTTCCACCCCCCCCCAAAATCGTGCAGCCCTAGTGGTAAGTGCTGATAAATGGGATCAGATGAACATGAACTTTATTTTGAAATGAATCTGTGCTTTTTTTCTGCGATTCCTTTAGTCTGTCTCACTGAGCTGACTGAAACCCTGCAGGCAGATATTACTGAAGCCTTTTCCCACAAAGTGGACTTGCAATTTTCAGAAATGTATCTGTATCCATTCTAGTGATGTTTTTGATTAGCAGAAATAGAGTGTTGAAAAATACAATAAAAATGAATCAAAAGAAACAAGCACCAGCAGTGTTTCTCGACACTGTGTACGGCAGTCAGGAAATCTTTTGCATTGAATTTATTAATGTGTTTATGTGGCTTCTCAGAGAACTCAAACTTACTACAAGTACATTTTCATGGGGGACGGTTGATGCATGTTATCAAAGTGAAATTTTATACTAAATTTTCATTAACTCATGAAATATCAGTCTGCTAGCTCAGTGTCAGAGATATTAAAATGGCCTTGAGGTCTGTCAGGTCCCAAAAACGAGGGTTAATATATAAAAGACTTCTTCAAAGGTCTTATTTGAGATGATTTAAATGCAAAAATAACCAGCCTTTGTCCTCTTCATATGGGACTTGTCACCTGTCTTTTATTAAGCCTTCTATATTCAACAAGGACACTGGGTTAGAGAAATGATGGCTGATTTATTATAAGACTTATACTGTGGAGCTCAAAGACAGAATGTGTGTTTTGGACAGGGAACACTACCTTCATTTTTTTTTCATGTGAATGTAAGTGTTTCATGTCTTATATTACTGACTTTTAGAATTAAGAAATAAGTCACGAGAGGAAGGTACGGATTTGTGATTTACACCTCTATCAGTGATCATGTTGGGTTTGAGTTGTATTGTAGTACTTCAATAAAGCCTTGCAAGGCAAACTGTGATTTTTCTTCAGTAGAAGAGTAAAGAAGTTTTTAGCTGAAACTGTGATCCTTGGTGATTCATAAAATGCAAGGCATCACTTTGAGAGTCAAAAAAAGCATATCAGGCAATACAAAATTAATACCAGTGGCTCCTGATGATATGTTGAGGTCTTATGAAGCTAAACAATCGGTCTGCGCAATAAACTAAACATTATTTCCAACATTATTACCTGTAATCCAGAGCTTTCAACAAACAGTATACAAACTGTAGTGATGTTTGGTTCACAAATCATTCTTTTGAATCAGTTCTTTTTAGTGAACTAGATGAACCAGTTCACAAAATCAAACTGCACTGTCTGAAACAGTTCACGGCTCGAGCAGCACAGATCTACAAGTTACTCGATCAAAACTCACTTTCAGATGCCTGACAGTCACTCTGACTGAAATGAGCCAAAATAGCAGCGTATCTGATCCTGTAATGAAGTGAAGTGAAGTGACATGTGGCCAAGTATGGTGACCCATACTCGGAATTAGTGCTCTGCATTTACCCATCCAAAGTGCACACACACAGCAGTGAACACACACACCGTGAACACACACCCGGAGCACTGATTCAGTGCTCCAGTTCCTCCAACAGCCACTGAACTAAACAAACAGTTAGACTCGGACTGAAGGCCGATGAGCCACTAATATACGCATGTGTGAACCGAGCACTTGAAAGAAGGGGTGAAATTAAAGTTTTAGTTTCTCATTGTTTATGTAAAAAGGTGAGTTGATTAAGACTATTTTATTCACATTATATGCTTTAGATAGACATCCACTTTTATATACATTAAAACATCCACATTTCACATCATTATTGGGTGATTTAATAGTATAATTGTGAAAACGTTATGTCATTGCATGATTAAGTAAATTAACTATAGTGAATTGAACCAGTTCGTTGAAATGAACTGTGTGAAAAAACTAGTTTGTTGAAAAGAATCAAATTCCCCGTTTGCCTGAGGCTCTGGATTGCAGGTAATAATGTTGTAAATAATTGTTCAGTTTCTTGCACAGACCAATCATTTCGCTTCATAAGACCTCAATATATCATCAGGAGCCACGGGCAGGGGCGCCGCTATGATTTCTGGCCCCCCCCCCTCGCCGGGCCCTTGGAATCGTCCTAAACTTCCTCTTGTAAGTTTTCTGTAGACTGCTGATTTTTGCTCATGTTATTCAGCTGCAACAGAATGCTTTGCAAAAAGACAGAAATAAATGTTTGACTTCTAAATGTTTGACTTTTTTATCTCATTGGAATCAAAACTAGGAATCGATAAGAATCGGAATTGGAATCGATAAAATTCAAACGATACCCAACCCTACCTACGTCTTGGATGGCCTGAGGATGAGTACATTAACAGCAAATTTTTGTTTTTGGGTGAATTATCCCTTTAAAACTAGTGTATCTATCTACTAAAACCAGAATGATTGCTTTCAAAATGCATTGGAGACATTGAGATCTATAGACCTTCATTTCACTCTAACTGAAGACAGTAAATTTAACAGTCCAGAAAATGTCTGTAATTTCTGAAACAGGAATTGGCATGTGTGCACAGACACCACAGGGCTGTTCACATTTGCAGATGGTTATTGCTGTATGACCATTAAAACCTTATTAATGACAAACTGTCCTTTCCGCATTGGTGGCTTCCTTACATGTGAGCTGACTTGTAAATTCTTGCAAGTAATTACTGAACCAGCAATCCACATTAAAGTGTGCACCAGTCTACCAGTACACCTAAGGCCCTACGAGTTCCACAATGTAGAAAATGTGGATGGAATTGCAGAATCCAGTCATAAATATGGAATTTAATGTATAAAGCGGAATGTCACGGAATTTGGGAAATGTTGGATGAATTTTAGATTGACAGAATGAATAGATTTAATTTTCATTTGACTAAAAGACTAAATTGTTAATGTGGTATGCCTTAATTTGATTAGCAGAAAATGTTTTATTCACAACACTCAATTTCTGAAAAAGCACAGGGCCCTATAATTGTAAAATAATAATAATAATAATAATAATAATAATAATAGTATGTTGTTTTAATTAATTTAGTTGATTTAAATTTAATATAACAATTAAAATTGGAAAACACAGAATTTGGTAAAACTTAAATGCAACTTTAGAAAAAACAAAAATTATAGGGTCCTAAAATGTAACTTTTAATATTTTTTTTGTTATGTAAAAGTTAAATTCTATAAGTTCTATTATTTCAATTAATTGACATAGTTTTTGATTTATAAAGTAAAAAATAAAACAGAAAAAAATCTGAAAAATACAGTGCTCTATACTTTCTAGCCAACACCATTCTCCCATTTACAGTATATCTTTATAACATGTAAGGAACCATAGGTCACAAAATCATTACAATCTGTGCTAAAACAGCTTCAGTATCATCACTCACGTGTCTTTCGTGCCGAGTCTTCCACAAACAGAGATGAGATGTCTTCATCCACGCCAACCTCGTTTCTAGCGATGCAGGTATAAGCACCAGTGTCTTCATAACGCACACTACCGATGTGAAGCTCACTGCCATTAGCTGAAGAAATACAACAGCCAACAGTTAGATGATTCAGTGCATTTCCAGTCTAATTCCTGTATTTCCTACGTATCAACACACACACACCACTGAAAAACGCCTCTAACAAAACCAACAAGCAACTACAGGGCAATAACATAAATCTCAAAAGTAAGTTTGAGGTGTTTGTTCCCACAGTCGACCAATAACATTTTTCATTGACAGAGCTTTGGGTGAAGGAATTCTTAAAACCCATAAAGGTTTCCCTGTGGTGCAGCTAATACTGTGCCAAGTTATAAAGTCCAATACTTGGATTTATTGAGTGTCTGTTTTTTTTCCAGCAGAAATGGTTTCTCTTGAAAATGACCAAAGGAAGGAAAGGTATAAAGTTGGCAGAATGTGCATTTCAAGTTGTTAGCTGGCATGACTATTTCACGAATACATAAACTGTAAAAAAATATTTTGTCAGGTTACCTATCATCATTTACTCACTCTCAAGTTTTTCCAAACCTGTATGAGTTTCTTTCTTCTTTTGCACATAGATTTTGAAGAATCAAACAGTTGCTGGTCCCTACTGACTTCCATATTATGGCAAAAAATACTATGGAAGTCAATGGCTAGCGTCAACTGTTTTGTTACCAACATTCTTCCAAATATCTTCTTTGAAATTCAACAGAAGAAGCTCATACAGGTTACCCCTAACCTAAACTTGAGGGTGAGCAAATGATGACAGAATTTAATCTGTGGGTGAACTATCCTATTAAAGGTGCAGTCCAAATTCAAAATTACACTGTAAGTTGATGAGTTGATTTACAGTGGGTACGGAAAGTATTCAGACCCCCTTAAATTTTTCACTCTTTGTTATATTGCAGCCATTTGCTAAAATCATTTAAGTTAATTTTTTTCCCTCATTAATGTACACACAGCGACCCAGTTCTTTGCTAGATTCCATGGTTGTAAAACGCAGTGTTTTCCACCAACTGGCAACCCGTGGTGTTGAAATACTGGGCGGAGTCACAACCAAAACAAAAACAGACATTCCGACATGGAACACACTTTCCAAAGCAGAATAACTGGCTGTAGCGTTGTTTTTCAGAGAAACATGTTTCCTAAATATCAGCAAACATATTATGGTATTTTATGCTTTAGTACAGTCAAACAATTACATACAGCACTTTTAATATTGCTAAATCTACCTATATTAGGTTACACCAGTAAAAGTAATTTTTCAAGGTCATGACGGCACAGTTATTGTCATCAGACTCAAGTTTGTCTCATCTCTGATCATTTTTCTGACAGTCATGTGCTAATTATATGAACCATGTAAAAACAGCAGTGCTATTCTGGATGTAAACTGGACAGAAATGTTTTTTACGGCCGCTGACCATATGAACGCGCTGCAGGCGGCTGCTCTCTCATGACAGAACGACACCCAGCTGCAGTCACTTACAGCTCATCAGCGTCCCGGTCAGCCGGGGAACACGCACAGAAATGCGCAAGCCACTTTCTCTTTACCACTTCCACAGCAACACATTTGGATTAGTGCTTAATGATGGAGGTGTGATTCCAATGGTTTCAGTGCACTTTAAATAAATTTGTTTATAGGTTTGGCATTTATAATAGCCTAAATGTTGTTTATTATGAATGCCACTAAAGTTTATAATGTATGGAAATTTTCATTTACCGATATTGTACATTATTTCTGAATGTAATAATAACATGCACCATGCAACATAGATATGTGACTCATGTTTTTTTTTTCTTCCTCTCAACAATGCAATTTTGGCCCTGTGTGACTTTTTTTTTTAATACAGTACTTTATTTTATTGCATTCTAATAAATGAATGCATTAAGACTGAACGGTGTAATTTCTGTGCCACTAATATCAATAACTATCATGTCAAAAATTGTTTGGGTTAATGTATGTATTGTATTCATGTTGTAGTGCAAATCACTGTTGCTGCTATTGATGTGGATTATGGGTAAGTTTAGGGACAGGTTTGGTGGTTTGGTTAAAGGTTTAAGGGTGGGTTAAGGAGTAGAGTCAACAGTATAGTTATTGATGTAATTACTGAAATTATTTAGAGATGTAATTACATGAAGGTATATTTTAAAATATAAGTATGTATGTACACAATAAGTGCATTGTATCACAAGATTCATTTAAATGGTAACATTACAATAAGGTTCCATTTCTTAACATTAGTTAACATGAACTAACAATGGAAAATACTTCTTAAGCATTTATTAATCTTGGTAATGTTAGTTTCAACATTTCCTAATGCATTAATGTGTTGTGTCTGTTAATAGATGGATCTGAGCTAACATGGACTAACAATGAACATTTGTATTTTTTTATTAACTAACATTAACAATGATTAATGCATACTGTAAAAAAAATATTGCTCATTGTTAGTTAATTCATTAACTAATGTTAACTAATAGAACCTTACATTTAAATGCAATACATAGTAGTTAAAGACACTTAATATAAAGTGAGACCACGGTTTTATTATGTGCTGTGTGATTTTTGAAGGCTGGTTGGGATGTTTGTGGAAACACACACTCACACACACGCACGCACGCACGCACGCACGCACACACACACACACACACACACAATGCTACTTTGAAGGTTTCACTTTTATTCGTATTGAGCTTTGATGCTAATTAAATTCAGCCATAAAAACACTGCAAATGACTTTGTTTTCTTTTCCAAATGGATTTCATGAATAAATAATTTTTCAGTAATTAAAAAGGTCTCCAACAACATTTACGTGAACGTCGGCAATAGTATTGTTGTGTCTGAGTCGTGACTGGCCTTTGGTAAAGTGTTCCCACAAGCTCATGCATATCATTGTCTATCCAGTTCATCTCATACAACACTGTAGCTGCGGTTACTAATGAGATCATCATTCATTATGACATCACCTCAAAGATTCTGAGATTCTGTCACCAAACGAATCAGTGTTTGCAGTAATGACGAGCATGAAGCCAATTACGCAGCATTACAGATAAACATGCAATCCTCAAATCAAAGCAGCACTTGTAAAATGAGAAGAGAAGCTGATGTGTGTGTGTGTGTGTGGCGTTTCAGTATGGCTGCTCTGCGTGTGTATCAGAGCTTTGTGAAGTTCAGCGAGTTCTCAGATGCTCGGCTCACCTCTGATGCTGTCTTGATCACAGCACAAGCATCTCTGAACACTGTCTGTATCACACGCACGCTTTCATGTGCGTGTCAGAGATCACATACATGCAGGAGAGTCTCTCTCCTTTTCACCTTATCTTCATTGTGTGTGTGTGTGTGTGTGGCGTTTCAGTACGGCTGCTCTGCGTGTGTATCAGAGCTTTGTGAAGTTCAGCGAGTTCTCAGATGCTTGGCTCACCTCTGATGCTGTCTTGATCACAGCACAAGCATCTCTGAACACTGTCTGTATCACACGCACGCTTTCATGTGCGTGTCAGAGATCACATACATGCAGGAGAGTCTCTCTCCTTTTCACCTTATCTTCATTCTCTCATCTCCACTACTCTACAATACACATCTCTACTCTAAAATACAGACTCAATTCAAACGAGAGCTTCTCACCACTCGGTAAAAGTTCATACTTTTTATATGGATTTATACTTTCAATGCAGCTGCATATTTCCGTATCAGGTACATTTATGTACTGCAGGTGGGTTATGGATATGAAATAATGGTCACTTTATTTTAGGGACCAATTCTCAGTATTAGCTAACTATTAACTATGACTTTTGCCTCAATAAACGCATAATTTACTGCTTATTAAGTGTTAGTAAGTTAGTCTTTAAGTTTAGATATGGCGTAGGATTAAGGGATCTAAAATATGGTCATGCAGAATAAAATCTTTATATGTGCATTATTAGTATAAACAGCCAATATTCTAGTAATTAAGCAACTAGTTAATAATTAGAATTGGTCCCTACAAAAAAAAACCAAAATGGTGAAAAAAGAAATGGCCACCAGTTCCAGGTCCTGCTATTGAGGATATGCATTAAATTCATATACAGTTCAACTCCATGCATTAATGCTGATGAACCATATTATGCATTAACTTATTGAATACTGAATGTGTACTGAATGCTGCCAAGGGCATGAACAAAACCTTATGGTGCAGAACTGTGGTCTAGTGTTTGGCACACGCTCTGACACATCATGTGGATGATGAGAGTTTCAATAAAAATTCCCCCCCCAAAAAAGGTTTGCCAACTAAACTTTCTTTAACTGTATCTCCCAAAGGTTGATTTTTTTTTACATAAAAACTTTGAAACTTTCCTACCTTTAATGTTCAGATTTTCTTTTTTTTCTTCTTTCAAATGACTTTTATGTTTAGTTTTATTGTATTATACTTTTGTCCCAGAGGCAGACTTTCTCTTTTAACCTATGAAAATCCATCATAAAATATGAATGGCAGTATCTATTACTCCAAGTGCAAATATCCAACCTGGCTGGAAAAGGCAATTTTTTTTCTAACTCCACACACCACTGATATTTCACTTTGACTACACACAGCATATAAGAAGACTGTGAGTGAAGAGTGATGACTAAGAAAAATGAAAGCGAATGTCTCTTAATTTATTCATTTATGCACAAAAAGTGTAAGTGGAAATATGATTTAATTGTTTTTTTTCAATACATAAAATGATAGCTGAGAGATTAGCCTTAGCAAGAAAAATGAATCAGTTGTTGTATTGTATATTTAAAATGTCATTTCCAACACAGAATGCTATTAATATTCAGTACAATATGTCACTTGAGCTGCGCTGTAAGTAACAGTGATTAATCCATGATATTTATGTGCCCACTGTTGTTGTAGAAAAATTCAGCTAGTGAGACAATGCTACATGGTAGTTTATTTCTCAAAAGGACAAAAGCGCCTATAACTGCTAAAACACCCCAAACAATATTATTTTGTCAAACACCAAAAAAATCCAATATACTTAAACTAGCGATCGTCACTGAACTTTTTTGTGAGTCAAATATTTATTTGAAGTTCCCCAGAGATTTGAAGTTAATATCATAATAATTTAACCAAACATTTACATTATTATTATAATTTTTTAAATAATTTAACTAAACATTTGATTATGGTTAATGATCACATGACAGGCAGGTAAGCAAATACAATATTTAATCTTTTTTAGTGTTCAAGTGTTGTAAAATAATGGTGACACTTTACTTAAAGACTTCATGTATAGAACATTATTTCTTTTCATAAATATTTGTAACCAAAGTTAAAATGCGCAATAATATTTGAAGGTTTGTTTGTCATGTGTTTTAATGCACTATACTTTCTAAAGGTGTAACAATAAATAGATAAATATTATAATGTATTATAACTGTGATTACAATTATTTATGATATCATACAATGCATTATAAGGTACATTACAAGGCATAATTAATGCATTAAAATTACTTTTAATATGCATTATGTATAAAGGCTTTAAGTGTTACCAAAATTATTTATTCAGTTTTATATTTTAATGATTCATTTAATTATTAGCTCAAACCCCAGGTGCGAAACTCGGAGGGAAACTATGGTTTGTGACTGTTTACCTTTGTTGTCTACGAGTATAAATCATGAGTCGGTTTTGTGCTGCCATCAGTGTGCTTACAAGTCTATCTATCTTTCCATACAGCAGAAAACAAAAATCAGTCGACACAAAATGACACATTGTGTCTCCGCGCTGAGCTAGGCCTGTTATTTGTCATCCCGCGAAAGTGAATTTTTCAGACTTTGTGATGAAATCATCTTTTATCTTCATGCTGTAAATATTTCTGTGGACACAAACAGAAACAGGAGAGCTTGAAAGGAGCGCTTCTAAAATATTAATGCGTGAGGGAAATGAAAGCAGACAGACATGCCCAATAAAGGGTCAGAGAAACACAAATGCTCGAAACTATGCTACATTAAACCTCCACAGAACAAATAAATAAGCCGAGCCGGTGAGAAACGATGGAGCTGAAACAAATAAATGAGAGCAATGAGACCTTGAAGGTCTCGTCTTTTCATACAGAACTTAAGCAGCACAAGCATCTGATCCAAATAACAGCCTATTACAGGGTCTAATGGACCGAAAACCAATTAAGTGTTTTCTAATAAGGGGCTACTCTGTAAACAATACAGCACCGCGCTGGAATCGACAGGCCCCTCCAAACGAGCCCATTTGCCTGGGTCCGCTATCGTCATTTCATGCACTGTTTTTATTATTATCATCATCGTCCTTGCAGGGAGTCACAAATTCACTCCCACAGCACCAACGGCTGCCAGCAATGGCTGTAAACCACTGCTGCGTCAGAGGGCCGTACAGAGGATATTTTTCATATGCTTCGTTACATGGTGACACTTTGATTTGTTAAATCAAATGAAAAATTGTGTGTTTGATTGGTCCAGACGCTACACAAAGTTAAAATGCGCAATAATATTTGAAGGTTTGTTTGTCATGTGTTTTAATGCACTATACTTTCTGAAGGTGTAACAATAAATAGATAAATATTATAATGTATTATAACTGTGATTACAATTATTTATGATATCATACAATGCATTATAAGGTACATTACAAGGCATAATTAATGCATTAAAATTACTTTTAATATGCATTATGTATAAAGGCTTTAAGTGTTACCAAAATTATTTATTCAGTTTTATATTTTAATGATTCATTTAATTATTATCTCAAACCCCAGGTGCAAAACTCGGAGGGAAACTATGGTTTGTGACTGTTTACCTTTGTTGTCTATGAGTATAAATAATGAGTCGGTTTTGTGCTGCCATCAGTGCGCTTACAAGTCTATCCATCTTTCCATACAGCAGAAAACAAAAATCAGTCAACACAAAATGACACATTGTGTCTCCGCGCTGAGCTAGGCCTGTTATTTGTCATCCCGCGAAAGTGAATTTTTCAGACTTTGTGATGAAATCATCTTTTATCTTCATGCTGTAAATATTTCTGTGGACACAAACAGAAACAGGAGAGCTTGAAAGGAGCGCTTCTAAAATATTAATGCGTGAGGGAAAGCCTCCATATCTCTGTTCTCTCACCCAACTTAAAGCTCCTGGAGCTTATTCTCTGTGCTCACAGGACTTGTATACTCTTTCGGTTCCCTCTGCACGAACTGAACTTGGAAAACAAGCTCTTCGGTTTGAGGCGCCCAATGATTGGAACTCTTTACAACACAACATGAAGTTGCAGATCTTAGTGTCAATGAACACTTTTAGATTCTTGATCAATGAGCTAACTTGTAAATAACTTGTTTTTTACAAATAACTTGTAATTAACTTAAATATTTTTAATTGTGTTTTGGATACAGAGTTTTGTGTTCTTTTTCTGAAATGTAGCGCTGCATCTTGGACAGGTCACTTCTGTAAAAGAGATTTTTTAAAGGGGTCATCGGATGCCCATTTTCCACAAGTTGATATGATTCTTTAGGGTGTTAATGTAAAGTTAGTAGTGTAAGTAGTGTAGGGTAGTGTAAAACAACACCCTTTTTAACCTGTCAAAAACAGCTGTTGACAGCAAGCTGTTTTGTTGCATGTCCCTTTAAATGCTAATGAGCTCTGCTGACCCCGCCCCTCTCTTCTGTAGGGTGACGAGCAGTTGCGCAGTTATCTGAGAGACGGTAAACTTTAGCCGCATTCATCGTGAAGCTTGCTAACTAGCACATTATTAGGAAAGGCGATTTGCAGAATTCATTAAAAAAAAAACCCTTATATTCACTTCTTCTGCAGATGAGGCTGGATCACGAATGATTCGTGTGAACATAGACACATGTATGTAGACCGGGGGCCGCATTCCCTTCACAAACAAATGTAATCCTCTGCATCTTCAGCGACTAAGTAAATGACGACTGCTTTGTTCATTATTACATCCAACAACAGAACACCTCAATCGCTTAGGAGCCATTCTTGTCTACTCCTGCTCCGGCGCCGAAACAATGGCGGACTGATGACAGCTCACTCTGGGCGGGTCTGTGATAAAACACCAGTGTCAATCAACAATTGTGGGAGGGGCCTGTGTCTGTGTGATGTCACACAGTCAAGAATCTTAAGAATCACAGTCAGAACACTGGGTACATTTTTATCATTATAGGGTGGATGTGTACGAACACTGCCAACACAAATTTCAATTCAAACAACATGTAAAAGTGAATTTCGCATCCGATGACCCCTTTAATCTCAGAAAGTTTCACCTGGTTAAATAAAGGTCAAATAAATAAATAAATGAAACCTGCTTCCCAGAAGGAGGGCCGAGGATCGTACCGAGAAGTGAAATCTGCTTGGATCCGTGCGGCTGCAGGTCCAGGCCGTTCTTTAGCCAGGTGAGTTTGGGGTTTGGAATACCATCTGCATGACAGCGCAGGCTGGCAGCGACGCCGGGTTCCTGGGCCTGAGTCTCCGGATACACCAGGATTACTGGAGGCACTAGAAGGACAAAGAGACTGTGAACAACAGAGAAAGTGATTCAAGGCCAGAACAATTGCTTTGTTTTGGATTCCCCTCCTTGTGTAAGTCAGAAACGGTCATTTATTGAAATGAATGTGAACCGCAAACATGCGTCCCGTCTCGAGGTACCTCAATTAGACAAAACAAGCTCTCTAACAATCACGCTTATTGTCTCCGTTAGTTGAAAATCCTTCCAGTATTTTTTCTCTCGCAAATGTAATACAGCAAGGGAAACAGGATTGTTATCTTTGTTTCAATACAGTGTTTGTTTATATGCCTTCATATGCCTCGATGAAGAATGATGCCTTGTATTATTGAACGGTTGAATGATCAAAAGGTGAAAACTATTTTCCATTGGAACCATTTCAAATGGTTTGAAAGCAAACAAATGGCTCTTTTGTTCAGTTGGAGTTATTATACTGTATATCTGGGGTTAGTGTTGTTGGTACCAAGTCAATACTTTTTTAATTTTAAAAACATAACAATACCAGCCTTTTGACAGTGCTGGGTCATTCTGGTTCCCTCTGATAGGCAGCTGCTTTCAGATGTTCGCGTATTTGTGTGAAGAGCATCAAAGGTTTTTATTTACAATGTGATTTTGCAGCGTTGACACTTGTAGCCAATCACAGACATGTTTGTTGAGCATGTGAACTCAATGACCAATCAGAGGCTTTTTAGTTAGAATCTGCTCAATACACCAGAGTTTGTTCATTGTGAGCTCTGCTCGCTCACAAATGGTTTAGTTAAAACCAACAAAGTATTCATTGTACAATATAGACAGATTTTTTTTTTTTATTATAGCGAGAGTTTTCATTCACTCAGTGTGCTTGCACTTCGGCTGAAATGAAAAACTATCGGCCTCATTGATTATAAAGGGAGCATCTTTGCTCGCTTTCTGTATATAACCTTGCTCACTCTTTGTATTATAACCCTTTCATAATCTGAATACATTTTTTCATTCTGCAACATACACACTGCAAAGTTTCAAGAGTGGCAACCATATTAAAATGCGGGACTGAATTCATGAAACATCATAAAAGCTGACTGAGATGATACAGAGAGACCAGACATAATGAAGTTCTCACACTATTCCTCTGGCATGATCAATTTATTAGCAAATATCCCAGCATTCACTGGCGCATCCAGGTCGCACACAAAATTATTTCATGAATGGTCTAAAACCAGTGGTGTAGTCCTAAAAAAAAAATAAAAAAAATCAGGAAAGTAAATGTTTTTACATTGTTGGTTTATTTGTAATATTTATTTAAATAAATAAATAAAAACAAATAAATGTAGTGCACTCTAAAATTGTTGGCAGATTATTTTTCAGGTACTGCATGGCCTGATGATTATAATTTAAACATGCTGCTTTGGAATTATATTTATTGAGAAAAGTGCTTCACAAATTAATCTGAATTTAATGTTTCTTTTATGCTAATATTGGGGAGAAAAAATGTAACTTCATACAAGGTAATTATTTTATTAAATGCTTTGGCTTTAGTACAGTGGCAATATGAAGGTCAATTATTTATTTAATATGATGCCTAATATTTTCTCACACATTAAAGTGTTTTTGATACATGTAAAAATATAACTGATTTTGTAACTAAGGAATGCAATTATATCTTCTGCAAGGGGATTATTATACTTGGGGTCTTTGGCATAAAACCCTTTGAAAAACCATTGATCTGTGCACAGCGCATTCTGTCTCTCTCACACACAACCAGGCATTTATGCACAGGTGACGTTAAAATTGTTTCGGGATTTGGGAAATCCCATACATATGTGAGAAATTCACATTCACACTCTCGGCTGCTCTAACTCTTCAATAACTGCATAAGAGTTTTTGATTCTTTTTTATGCACTTTTATTTATTTAACCTGCCAATGCAGACATGCTAAATATCTGGACTTGTCAGCGATTCAAAATCCTGCTGTGCGTAATGAGTTCTACATCTGCGATGACCTACAGCCAATGAGAGAGCAAGATATAGCACAGCGGGAAGTTCGGGAGGAGTTATAGACCACAATAGAGAATGGGAACGTGACATCAGCAATGCACGGCATTCTGGGACTTTGGGACACGGACATTACATTAGAGATTGAGTTATAGTGGAGGTAGATGTTAAAATTTATATTAAACCATTAAAAACACATTAGAATGGAGAATGCTTGCTGTGTTATAAACTGCCATATCTGCTCTCATGACCGGAGTGGAAAACGGATCTAAAATGAAGCGCAACTTTCTGCTTTTCAGCTTTAAACAATACAATGCTGACAGCATAGTTCAATGAAAATAAACAACTTGACCAAAATTTGGCTTTTGTCATTTGTATTTATTATTTATTACAGATTCATAACTTCCGATCCACATGAATTTGTAAGTGCTCACGCCATGAATAATGTATGAAAACACGTTTGGAAATGTTATGTGTGATACAGGTCGTTACGATCACTCTCCGTGTTCATAAAGCAACCACTCCTTTGATTCATTGTTCAGCAACTCTTTGTGAGAAGTTGTATTTGTTCCATTTAAGTCCAGTAAAACTTATTTGTAGTGCTTTCACAATATACTTAATTTCAGAGCTGCATTACAGAAGGTCGTATTAGAGCGATATGATAATATGTGTTGATTAAATACAACAGTTCTCAGTTCCTGTCCTCGTGTAACATTACCCCCGCTCTACATATTTTGCACGTCTCTCTTAGTTAACACACCTGATTCAGATAACCAGCTCGCTAGAAGAGAGCTATGTGCATGAACTGTGTACCGACTGACATGCTCCCTACACAGTGTTCTTTGCTTCCTACTCCCTGAGCAAAGAAAATCCGGTAAAGTTTACTTCACTTCAGAACATTCATTTACGGATTTGTGCTACGCCACCGCTTGCAGCATCTTCACACACAGACATAACTTACTAGAGAAGTGTGAACTGTGACATAATACACCCCTGTAAATAAATACAATTTAAAGGTGGGGTAAGCGATTTTTCAAAAACGCTTTAGAAAACTGATTCGGGCCGACTAGCAAAACAAACTTGTAGCCAATCAGCAGTAAGGGGCGTGTCTACTCATGATGTGGAGTAGAGAGAGCGTTCAGTGCACAGGACGGACATTAGCGAGCCGAGCGACAGAAAGATAGA